ATGTGTCCATTAAATTTCCTGTCAGTCCATTCAGTATATTGTTGGGTTCAGACAAATAAACAAAATCTTTGGGTATGTCTGATTGTTTAAGTGATCACGTTATATTTTGTGTCTGGTAACTTAAAATTCCAAGTTTAAAATATAAATATATCAGACAACACAAAAATATTAATGTAGATCGTTTCATCCATGACTTAACTGCTATTAAATGGGATAGATTTGAGTTAATTCCTTTTGTTGAAGATACATGGAACTTATTTTATTCTCAAGTTACGTTTCTGTCACATAATTGATAAACATGCTCCCATGAAAACAATTAGAGTTAAAGGTAAACATTTATCCTGGATCAGCTCACATATTATCAGCATTTTCAAACAAAGGGATAAAGCTTGGGCCAAATATCACTTATCTAAAGATTCTGCTGATTGGGGCACCAAGAAATACTTGACGAACTTCTATAGAACTACTATAAAGATTGCTTTAAAGATAGATTTTCATAACCCTTTGCACTACTGCTAAAATCTTTGAGAAACACATTTTTAAATCAATTATCACACCACCTCAATCTTTTCAATATTTTACTCTCATCCCAATCAGGTTTCAGACAAAATTTTTCTACCACCACAGCTCTTTTAAAATTCACTAATGATGTGTTCTCTTCCTTTGATAAAGGTTAAAGAACAAGTGCAGTTTCCATTGATCTTTACAAGGCTTTTGATATGTAATATTTAATATATTATATTTAATTGTTGACAAGGGTGTTCCACAGGGCTCCACCTTGGGACCACTTCTTTTTATCAATGATCTACTTCAAATGAGTTCAAATTGTTCTGTTCATCTTTATGCTGATGACACTGTAATTTATTATTCTAACTCTGAAAATCCAGTGAGAATTTTGGTTGTTTGTTAAAGTTGATTCATTTAAATATCTTGGAGTTTGGATTGACCCCAAATGCTCCTTTAAGCCATACATTGATTTTATTGTAAAAAGAACATACGGATGATTATGCCGACATTGAATATCACAACAGTACAGATACTTATGTCAAAACACTTCATACTGTACACAACTCTTTATAGATCTGAGTTGTCTATATAGAACACACTATTGTTCAATGTATAAATCACTTGACTGGTTGCAACCCAAATCTAGAAAGCAATTTTACTGGATTCAATTTATTTTCAAATGTCTTTATTTTAAATGTCCCCCCTATTTGAAACAGTTGTTAGTCCCATGTAGATCTTCATATCCAATTAGACACATGCAATATCCTTTTTTCTTTGTTCCCAGAAAAAGTTTGATGCAGGTAATTTCAATTTAAAGCTCCATCTGACTGGAGTAATCTTCAATTGTAATTGAGACCCATTACCTCTTTCCATTGTTTCAGGGCATCTTTAATTTATCATCTGAAAACAACTTGTTCATGTTTCTCATTTTTGTTTGTTTAATAACCTTCAGTACTCTTGATTTATTATCCAGGTCACACACTGTGACACTGTTTCTGTTTAACAACTGAAAGCTGGGAGTGTGTGTGGGAAAGAGTGAGCAAGCTGTCTGTAACTGTGTATTTGAATACAATACATGTATTTATTATTTTATATTGTTATCATTATTCTTAAATGTTATTATTATATTTGTTATTCATGTTATTAATATTCATAATTTCCCATCCTGGCATTTGTCGTCATCATCATCATCAACATCATCATTAGTTATTTCTACTAGTATAGTTTTTGCTCTTGTTGTTGCTGTGCACATTTGCCCCATCCCCTCACCCCTCTTTCTCTTTACCCCCCTACCCCCGCCCCCATCTGTCTCTCTATCCCTGACTGGTTTAGGCAGACAACCACCCACCTAGAGCTGGACTCTGCCAAAGGTTTCTGCCTCTTAAAAGGAAACATTTCCTTGCTGCCGTTGCCAAGTGCTTGCTCATGGTTGGACCTGTTGGGTCTCTGTAAATAAATAATAAATAATAAAAGATCTAGATCCAGTTTTTTTGTAAAGTGTCCTGAGATAACTTTAGTTATGAATTGGTGCTATACAAATAAAACTGAATTGAATAATATACACTTACTGGGCATGGGCCCAGATAGTGATTTTGGCAGAAATTCAGAGGTTGAGTGACAAAAGGTAATTAAATGTAATCTATTATATTACATCTTATCTATCTGGTCTGATAAAGGATGACCAAACGGATTTCTTTGGAATGTGACTCCTCAGTAATGATTACTCCAGGTAGTGTTTGCACAATAAGTCACAGCATTTCTACTCTTTGAGGATGCTGACTGTTGTTTAATACCACAGATCTGTTGACTTCTTACTGCTGAATATTCACTGAAACATTCACACATAAATGCTCCACAATCTTTTTATTTCCTTGCTGTGGACCATATATTTTTCTATTTCAGATCATAATCACTTACATTCAGTGTAAATAGTGTAAATGTGTGCATTCAGCATGCACATTTAAAATATAATTAATTTTAGATGTCATTATAGTGATCCATATTTGATAATTAATTATTATATTTGAGCTGCCCTGAAAAGACACAATCATGTGTATAGTATAACTTTATGTCCTACACTGTTTACTCAAGATCTTTTTTGTTTGCAGATACTTACAATGGCCGAATACATCACACACCTTGATGTGTCCCTTAATGAAGCTCCAATCACAAGGCTTCGAGCAATGTTGATCTGAACAAAGGGGCAGGAGGATCTTTGGTACAAACCGATCACCAGGGTTTAAATTAAATTCAACCATGTTACGGCTGTTGGATTCACCGATGCACCGGACACAAAGATCCCTAAAAACCTCAGTGGTGGGACAGAAGGTGATGACATCTTCCTGTGGTACTTCAGAGGGCACACTCAGTAGGATACTCCTGTAGTGGAAATTAATTTCACTACAGATACTCAAAATTAAATTTGAAGAAACAAACATACATCTGAGATGTCACTGCCACTGATTCCTTTGCATCAGATACAAACCCCTTACGTCCGTATGGATGAAGATACTAATAGCGATGCAGGGGGAGTCACTGTCTTTATCTGGTATCATCAGAGCACCAACTCCCAGGATGCAGTCTTTAATCTGAACGTCTCCACAACTGATGATGAGTGTTGCGTCCTTCCAACAGATGAGCTACTGTAGCTCAAACTGCTGAAAAGGTTAATGCTGTGCACAGTACATCACAGTTTGTTGTGTATGGGACAACCAAGGTGCCCAGGTGGTCATATTATAGCAGATTGGTGTTGTTCACAGATAAAATCCCTTCATGTTAGCTAATGGGGAAGTTTAGACAAAAGAACTTACCAGAGGTTTCTTCAGGAGAAGCACAAAAAAACAACCAACAGAAACCAGGCTCTCTCTTGACTGATATAACAATAGCGTCCTCTACTGGCATCACGTAGTTTGACGCTCAATTAGTTGACCTTTTAGTGACAGCATATTCTGTATAGGTTACATTGACAAATCCTTCTTATATTGTAAATATATTCCTCTGCAGTAACACTTGATCTATTTTTAAAGTGTCTGTTGACTGTCAATATGTTTTTACAACAGGTTATTAACCAATATTAAACTAACTATCTGTAGATTGCGTCAGCATCTTCTAACTACTATTAACTACTCAAAATCAATCTGTCATATTAATATTTAAACTAGAACATGATATTACGTCATCCTTACTCACAATGTATCTCAAACTCATCAAAAGACTATACTATAAATCTATTGATATTAACTAAAGATTATCTGATGATTATTAACTAATATAGTAAAATAACCTTTCAACACCTCAGTGGCACTAGTTGAACACATTTTATTAATTTATTATTATTATTTTAGGTTATTGTAATGACTGATTTGTGCACCAGGCCCAGACTGGCCTTTATCAGCTGAAGTTAGCTTTGACATTAAGGCATTAAATCTTGTTTGTTTAATCTAGCCAGTGACACCTGCTGAGGGCCCTTGCATATTTAAACACGATGATTCTCAGGCAAGTTCTGGATTTATTTTTCTTTGTTTATTTGTCCTACCTCTGAGCACTAGGTGGAGTAGGAGAACTGTATGTTATTAGGGATTGCTAAGATGCATCTAGTTTTGGTCCTGGCCAATATATGAGGTGGATTTTTAATTACATGCAACATTATGTTTAGTTCTTTTACTTTGGGATATTTATATATTTTACATTGATCTTTGGGTTGTAGAGCAGTGACTTTGTTGAGGTGAAAATGAATGGAGACTTGTTAGAAGTCTTATGGAAGACTTACTGATGTGAGAAAATGTTTAAAAATGTATGAAACCAGTGTATTCCTTGAAGAGTAACAAAGCCCTGCACATTGGTGTTCACTCTTAACCTTTGGGGAAAACTATAAATATAGTCCCATTGGAAGACTGTGAGATGCAGTTAAAAGCTCTGAATCATGTGGCCCAAGAAGTTAGGAGTTTGGTGTCAAGGGCCCCTCG